TTATTATCTGTAGATCATTGCAAATCTGTCCCTTGACATGGCGTTGGGTTTTCATTTCTTTCACCGTCCATTTACTGGTGGACGGAGTTTTGCTCCCACTTTGTTCTGCGGGTGAACTTTTCTTCATCACAACTCATGACCACAGACACCAGTAACTGCGTTGCGCCATTATACAAGTCAGTCTTTACCTCTGGCTTTTGATGATACTCTCTCTTACAGCGGGGTGACTGTTTTCCAGCCATCGTGTATTACGGCAAACTCGTTAAATTCTCCTCCACCTCCTCAAACATGCGTCTCACCCACTTTGCCTTTGCTCAAGGGTCAGCAGTCGCATCATAATCTGGGTCTGTATCTTCTAATCTACTGCTGTTTTCGTCAAAGTAGCACAGTTTAGGGAATTTATTTTTAATCTGAATCCCTTAATGAACCTTGCCTTCCCCTCGCATATTTCAGTGCATCTCAATGTATGTCATCAGTTACATTTCTTGAAAACTTATATCATCTGAAACATGCAAACATTGCATCTAGATGCTGAGGGTATAAAGATCCTCAGTGAAAACTCAAATGTTGCATCTGGTCTTCCAACTGGATAAGTTAAACATATCGCCAACAAAACAAAAAAATAATGCACTGTAATGTCACATTAAATTTATTGATATTCCTCAAAGGCGGGATATTTTCTCATTGAATTGTTGAAATTTTATTCATCCGCAAATAAAATACCATGAAAAATTAGACAGCCTTATGTCAACTCTTTTGCAAGAATAAATTTGATTAGTCAAAAAATTGACAAAATGTGCTTAGATCTTAATAAGTTAAAAAATAATGCACTGTAATGTCACTTTAAATTTATTGATATTCCTCAAAGGCGGGATATTTTCCCATTGAATTGTTGAAATTTTATTCAAACGATCATGAAACGCAGAATTCGGACAAATTAAAACAAAAAACATGGAATTTGGGGAAAATAAAATGCAATCTGTGGAAAAATGACGACGGATTTCATAGGGCTCACGCGTAAGGTGAGGGTCGGAGAGGTAGGTGGGAGGAGTACTAACTGTTTTATGAACTGCTGGTTGCAGGAGGGCTACACCTTTGTTGCCGAGGCCCACACCAGAGATGCACCTTTACCAGGGGGGCAATGGAGGCTTCGCATTATCGGTTCACATGACTCTTTGCCTACTCTCAGTGTGGACAGCCCACAAAGCAACTTCTCGGTGAAAGAATTTCAGGATTATTATATCCCCAGTGACAAGAACATCATCTGCAGGTGAGCATCCCATAGATCACACATTTTCTTTGTGTGCCCTTTCTAACGTCGCAGAAAAATTTTCAGTGTTCGTCCAACTGTTCCATCCTCCTCTGTGTGCCTGTACATAGGATTAACATAAAGCACATATGAGGTTAGACTGTCAGCTTTCATTTGTATTAACATCCATATCTTGTAAACCTTGTAATATTGCATCCATTTTTTTTTTTTTTTTTTTTTTTTTTGCTGTATCTCTGTTTAAATACCTCTGGGGTCTGTTGTATGTATTGTTAAAAGTTGACTTAACACTTAAAATTTCGCTTTGATGGGGAGAATGATTGACATCTGCAAATGTGCCACCAGGTTTACTGTGAAAGTGACAAAGGATCTCGTGAGCACTATCCAAATCCAAGCGTCTAAACCGGGTGTTTATGTCAAGCTGGCTGTCCTAGATCAGGAGTCTGAAGTTGCCAGCAGCACCGGAAAGGGCAGCGTCGTGATCCCAGTATTCCAGTTTTTATCCAACAAGCATCTCGACTGTGAGTCAAATGTTCTCTTGGAATTTATGGTTTTTAAGGGGAGATAGAAAGCTCAAAAATAAAAAAAAGAAAATGGAAACGAGTGGAGGAAGATAAGAAGACAAAAAAATGCTTGTGGTGTAAAATTGAATACATTATAGTTTGTTGCTATGGTTGCAGTGCCATCTTGAAAATCCTTATTTTTGCTGTCTTAAGTTTGTAAGGATATGTTTCATGTCAACTTCGTGTGACAAAAGGATTTTTGCATTTTCTGGTTTGTGAGTTGAGGTATTCTCAAAATGTTTGTAAAATCAAATTAATGATCAAAAAATGGAAAATCAAAATTTTATTATGTCACGGACGTTTTCCGTATCCATGTTTTCAACAAGGCTGGTTAACATTTTCATGTTAAATTGGCCAGTTTCAATTTTAGTGGTAACTAGTACAGTGCCCGTAGGATGCACACCATCGTGCCATGTGCAAGCCATATCCGAAAGCTTAGGCCAATCTGACAAACACTCAGAGAGATATGCGAGCCGCAGACAGACACACAGACAGACTCTTCTTGCTTTATAGATAGATAGTGGCTAGTTGCAAGTTCAATTTTAGTGGTATAGTCTGGTAATTGTTGTTTTCAGGGTAGTAACTCCCCTTAAATGATGGAGTTGCATTATCATTTTTCCTTTCAAGCCTTCTCCTATTGATGTCTATAAAGGAGTAATGGAATGCAATGTTAGATATGGTGCAGTCCTCAAATATTGGCACCCATGACAAAAAAAAACTGGTTATGAATGTATGCCTTTAATAGTTATTCACTTGATATTTATATCAAGATATTAAAAAATATAGAATCCTTAATTGAAATATTGTTTAAAAGAAAAAAAATCATCATAATACAAATATTTTCCCAAAAATATTGGATCCCCTTCATTGATACATTATGCTGCCTCCCTTTTTTGAGATAATGGCTCTGTCTTCTCCTTTAGTGTCTAATGAGGCTGGAGAACACATTGTAAGATATCAAAGACCATTGCTCTGTGTGGTCCATGTGTATGGACTTTTCAGCTCATCCAACAGGTTTTCTGTTGGGCTTGGGTCGTGGGACTGGGATCGCCATGGCAAAACCTTGATTTTGTGGTTGGGAAACTGTTTTCATGTTGATTTTAATGTTTGCTTTGTTTCATTGTCTTGTTGGAAGATCCAGCCATGGCCCAGTTTAAGTATTCTGACGGAGCCTTTCAGTTTTTAATTTAATATCTGCTGGTACTTGAAGGAATCCCTGAATCCTTACATGTCGTCCATGACTTTTGGAAGATAAACGGCACATCAACATAAAATGTTCATCACCAAACTTCACACTGGGGATGGGGTCCTTTGTGGAAACTCTTTTCTTTCTTGCAACAAACCCGACTGAGCTGTTTATTGCTTGAATTCTCTATTTTGGTCTCATCTGACCTTAGAACTCAGTGCCTGAGAAAGTTTCAGTATCAGCAGACAAACTGCTGGCGCACATGCATGTTTTTTGATGACAACAAAGGTTTTTTCCTGGCAATACTCACAGTAATCTTGTAGTTCTGTACATGGCAACTGTTTGTAGTTTTTTGGCTTTTCGCTGTCGCCGGCCATTTTGTCCGAAATTTGTTCCGGGCTCTGGAAGCCACAATTATTTAATAAATAGTTTCAAATTTTATGCCGGCGGCAATTTTGTCCAAAATTTGTTCTGGGCTACTGGAAGCCAAATTTACAATTATTACAGGCAGGAATGGCTGCTGGCGGCAATTTTACAAAATTTGTTCCGGCTATGGAAGATATATAGACAATGCTCAAATTTTATATAGGCAAAGATATATATATGTGACAATGCTCAAGCCCGATTTTCGTCAATTTCGGATGTCCAATATGGCTGCCGGCGGGCAATTTTGTCCAAAATTTGTTCTGGGCTCTGGAAGCCACAATTATTACAGGAATGTTTTCAAATTTTACACAGGCAAAGATATATATATGAAATCAAGACAATGCTCAATACCGCAATTTTGTCCAAAATTTGTTCTGGGCTCTGGAAGCCACAATTATTACAGGAATGTTTTCAAATTTTACACAGGCAAAGATATATATATATGACAATGCTCAAGACCGATTTTTCGTCAATTTCGGACGTCCAATATGGCTGCCGGCGGGCAATTTTGTCCAAAATTTGTTCTGGGCTCTGGAAGCCACAATTATTACAGGAATGTTTTCAAATTTTAATTTTGACAATGCTCGTCAATTTCGGATGTCCAAATTTGTTCAATTTTGTCCAAAATTTGTTCTGGGCTCTGGAAGCCACAATTATTACAGGAATGTTTTCAAATTTTACACAGGCAAAAATATATATATATATATATATATGACAATGCTCAAGACCAATTTTTCAAAATTTGTTCTGGGCTCTCCAATTTCAGGAATGTTTTCCCAATATAGCTGACAATTTTGTCCAAAATTTGTTCTGGGCTCTGGAACCAATTATTACAGGCGGGCAATTTTGTCCAAAATTTGTTCCGGGCTCTGGAAGCCACAGTTATTGCTGGAATGTTTTCAAATTTTACATAGGCGAAGATATATGACAATGCTCAAGACCAATTTTCATCCATTTCGGACGTCCAGTATGGCTGCCGCCGGCCATTTTGTTCCAAAATTTGGGGTTCGGGGAGATACACGACTCGGTCCCTGTGGCCACCGTGTCATCTAGTTTAAGGTTTTTTTTTTAACATTCTTTTTTTTTAAATTCATGTTTTAATTCTCTACATTTAGTAGAAGATTGGGAGGGTTAACAGCAATCCCATTTTCAGTAGCTCGCCAGGATTTTGTCCCAAAAACGTCCTAGGAGAGTTTATTGCCATACCATCATTTTGTTGGGGTTAACAGCAATCCCGTGGACAGCAAGGTCAAACTTTTCCGGCGAGCTGTGTTGTCTTCTGACAACTCTTGTTTTGTATCCTTTTTTGCTAAGATAAGAAGATATGCTAAGAAAGATATACCTTACAGAACCGCATGAGTTATTTTTTTCCTCTGCAGTTGACCCATCCTGGTTGCTGAAGAGCAGTGGGCAGTCACAGGGCAGCACCTGGGGACTAACTCCAATGCAAAAGCCAGAGCCTTGGTCTGGGACACTGGTTGAAGTGTTCCTATGAAACATTTCTTTGGGGGTGGGGGAACCTGCAGTACCTGGAGGAAAACCTTGTGCACTCGGGAAGAAGAACGGCTGGGACTCAAACCATGAACATCTTTATTGTGAGGCAACAGTGCTAACCACTGCAGCACCATGCCGCCCATACTTACCTAGGGTGCTAATAATAGGGTATGAATCTACATACTGTGCACTTCATAGATACTGGGACTCCGGAGCAATTTTTTCTTTTTGGCTGTCTGCTCCAGTACAGTGGGCTTGAAATCATGGAATATGAGGAAAAAGGAGAGGCTGTTAGCTTTAAGTTCTACATCTAGTTCCCAGTGAACGGTGTAGGTGTGATGGTGCGTTCAGGAACCACTCGCGAGAACAGGAATTCCAAAAATCGAAGCCTTTATTGCAAAATGGGTGGGGACCAGAAGACACAAGAATTGCCAAGCCAAAAACAGTATCCAAAAAGCGAAGTCGAAAAAAACAGGCAGGGGTCAAAACCAGTAAGGCAGATGTGCAACGGTACATAGACAGTAAGCCAAAAATCGAAGTCAGAATCCAGAAGGGTAGGTCATACACAGGGCATCCAAAACAGAAATTGTGGTTGTACAAAAATAGGTCAAAATCCAAATAGGCAAAACAAGAATGGTAAGGGCAAGGCAATCTCAAGGTCGGACAAAACAGTCGTGAAGAAGCAATAAACAAAAGGCATACGAGGCGCTCTGCACAAATGAGTATTGATCAACGTTCTGACAGAGAATGAACTGCAGTGAAGACTTTAAGTAGACAAGAGGGAAGTCACATGCTATGCAGGGAACAGGTGAATTGGATAAGAACTAATTACACAGGTAAGCACACATGGGGATGTCCTTAACCACAACCATTGGCAAAAGCCAAGACACGGACAGGATCCACGCAGACAACCTATGACAGATGAACAGCTCCGGTCAAGGAGTTCTAAGTGCACAGACAAAGAGTGCAGGATAGCAATTAACCACGTGCAAGAGATCTCGCGGAAACGCAGGAAGGGGCAGAGATAGCAAAGCTAGAGGCGGAGACTAGAACAGGGCGAGAGCTGAGATTGAATTAGTGGTAATTAGTAGCGGTGCAGTTCTACAAATTAACCCAAGTGCTCGTTAGTAAGTTAGTAATATATACATGGATTAGTTAAGTTAGTAGACTATGATACAAAATATAAATGTTAGTATTATTAGTAATCAAGGAAAGCAAGGTGAAGGAAGTAAACGAGAATTGAAGTAATGATATGAAACAACAGAGACCATTGAAATCACCCGAAGCATGTAGGCACACAGACTGGGAAGACGGACTGAACCAAACTGATCACAAGACAGGGGTGACAAGTGCAATGAAAACTGAAATGGCATGAACAGAAAACTAGAATGAATAATTAGCAAAAAGAATAAAGAAAAGACATGGCAATGAACACATGAGCATGACATCAAAACACAGAACCATAACAGTAGGAATTGCATGCTTTTTTATATTATGTCAATACCCTTACACCCGCAGATATTTTTAAAGCTCTGAGCAAAGACTTTTTTCACCACATTATAATTCTCACCCTTATATCCCAGGTTTCAGTCTGCAAGTGTATTTGTGTTGTAGGACTTCATTTTGCCCAATGTGACTTCCTTCGCTCCCTGTTTATTGCTTGTATTGATTTATAGCCACGGTAAACATTCACTTCACATCACTATTGGCTGCATCTCAAAACAATGAGAGCCAAGTGCATGTTATGGCCACCAGCACTAACCTGGAGACCATTTCTTTCAAGACAAAGCAGTAATCTTCACGGGTTTTTGCCATTTTTTTTTCTTCAGAATTTTCTGCATTGATTGTCTCGAACTCCCTCCGTTTCAGCTACCAGTTGCAAGTTTTACATCATGTTCTTCTTACCCGGTGTTCTTTTCAGTACACTGTAATCCTATACTTGTGATTTCACGCTTCTAATGGTTGAGAAAACAAGTGAAGTAAACAAGCAGTGTGCCTGCCCCTATTGTCTCCGAATATGTGTGGGTGTGTTGGCCATGTGACGTGTCAATTTGCCTTTTTTTGATAGCACCCCCTGGTGACTCCTCGCCAGCGAACGACCTTCAGGGCAGCAGCGGCTCTGCTGGTGACTCAGGGGGGACGGGATTGACAGGCGCTCCTGTGGACGGCAGCTCGGGGGAGGGGGATGGCGAGCAACCAGCGGAGACACTGGTATCCAAACCACCCCTCTGAATTAATGTTAAGCTTGCAGGCTGAAGAGAGGAGCATTTCAGCTTGAGTCAGTTTATGTGTCTGTTTGTTTATACTTAAATTACTCATTCATAGTTTTCTGCTAGAATCTGGATGGTGTTTGAAAATGGCTGCAATTCCCATGAGGATCACAAGTGGCTGTCAGTGTCCTAATATTAATGCTGGCAATTAACATTTTTTAATTTCCACTCCCTGGATGAAAGATTCAAAATCAAATTAATCACTGTCCCATTGTTTATAACATGCACTTTATAGCACTACTTATAAATCTGTCTGTATATCAAAATATCTACAACCCCAATTCTGAAATAGTTGGGACAAAGTGTAAATTGTGAATAAAATCAAAAGGCAATGACTTTCAAATCACACCAGCCAGTATTTTATTCACAATAGAACAGAGATAACGTAGCAAATGTTGAAACTGAGAAATTTTACAATTTTATCCACAAAATGAGCTCATTTCAAATTTGATGGCTGCTACAGGTCTCAAAAAAAGTAGGGACAGGGCCTGTTTACCATGGTGTAGCATCCCCTCTTCTTTTTAACACAGAGTGGAGGCGTCTGGGCATCGAGGAGACAAGTTTCTTGAGTTTAGTCATTGGAATTTGATCCCACTCTTGTTTAATACAGGCTTCCAGCTGCTGGAGAGTTTTGGGTCTCCTTTGACGGACTTTTCATTTAATTATGCGCCAAATGTTCTCAATCGGTGAAAGATCAGGACTGCAGGCAGGCCAGTTCAGCACACGGACTCTTCTACTACGAAGCCATGCTGTTGTAATAGCTGCAGTATGTGGTTTACCATTGTCCTGCTGAAATACACCAGGCCTTCCCTGGAATAGATGTTGTCTGGAGGGGAGCATATCTTGCTATAAAACCTTTATATACCTTTCAGCATTCATGTTGCTTTTTAAAACATGCAAGTGTCCCACACCATATGCACTAATGCATCCCCATGCCATCAGAGATGCTGGCTTTTGAACTGAACGCTGATAACAGGAGGGGTGGTTTTTCTCCTCTTTAGCCCGGAGGACACAATGCCCATGATTTCCAACAAGAATGTCAAATTTGGACTTGTCTGACCTCAGGACGCTTTGCCACTTTGCTACAGTCCATTTTAGATAAGCCTTGGCCCACAGAACACGGCGGCGCTTCTGGATCATGCTCAACAATGGCTTCCTTTTTGCATGATAGAGTTTTAGGTGGCATCTGTGGATGGCACAGTGGATTGTGTTTACTGACAGTGGTTTCTTGAAGTATTCCTGGGCTCATTTAGTAATGTCAATGACAGAATCATGCCAGTGAGTGATGCAGTGGCGTCTGAGGGACCGAAGATCACGGGCATCCAATAAAGGTCTTCGGCCTTGTCCCTTAGGCACAGAGATTTTTCCAGTTTCTCTGAATCTTTTGATGATGTTATGCACTGTCGATGATGAGACCTTCTAAACCTTCGCAATTTTTGACGTTGAGGAACATTGTTTTTAAAGTATTCCACATTTTTTTACGCAAGCCTTCACAGGTTGGAGAGCCTCTGATGATCTTTACTTCTGAGAGACTCAGCCTCTCTAAGACATCCCTTTTACAGCCAATCATGTTACACACCTGATGCCAGTTAACTTAATTACTTGCTAAATGTTCTTTCAGCTGATTGTCTTTGTAAATTAATTGTTTTTTCAGCCCTTTTTTGCCTGTGTCCCAACTTTTTTGAGACCTGTTGCAGCCAGAAAATTTGAAATTAGCTCATTTTGTGAATAAAAATGTAAAATCTCTCAGTTTCAACATTTGAAATGTTATCTATGTTCCACTGTAAATAACATATTGGCTCATGTGATCTGAAAGTCATTGCATTTTGATTTTTTTCACAATTTACACTTTGTCCCAACCATTTCAGAATTGGGGTTGTAATTATGACTGTCTGCCTGTATGTGCATATACAACATACAGCCAATGATGCGCCACAGCCCCCCAACAGCATTCCTACTTGTGCTGAAAATAAGGAGAATTCTCGCCTTCCCTCACTTGCTCAAACTGCATACCTTTGAATTTATTGCCTTTGATGAGTGCATGTTCATACAGTGCTGTGAAAAAATATTTTCCCCCTTCCCAGAAGTGTGAAGTTCAGAAAGTAAAAATCCCCCCCAGAATTTTATTCCAACCACCTGGATTTACTTCGGACAGGAGATAGAGCCAATATAAGTGATCATCTCATTCTGTGGGAGGGAGAAAAACTTGGCCGGACTTTTACTTTCTGACCCCTGGATTTTATACCTCTGCCCCTTCCTGATTTATTTTTTTGCATATTTTTCGCACTTAAATGTTTCAGGTAATCAAACAAATTTTACTAGTAGACAAGAATAACCCAAGTAAATGCAAAATGCAATTTTTAAACGATGATTTCATTTATTCAGGGAAAAAAAGCTATCCAAACCTACCTGGCCCTACGTGAAAAGGTAATTGCCCGCCTTTCTTAAATTATGAATTAACTGTGATTAACCATATTTTGAGTTCACTTTCACTAACCACTCCCAGGCCTGATTACTGCCAGACCTGTTGAATCAAGAAATCACTTAAATATAACCTGTCTGACAAAGTGAAGTAGGCTAAAAGATCTCAAAATGGCCTCGATATCAATATGGAGGTATTCAGTCAAAAATGTCTTGCTATTTGATTTGAGTCCATACACCCCAGCCCTACACCCAAATAAGTGGATCTACAACCTGGGGCATCTTTCGAAAGTGCCCTCCTCCACTAACAAAGCATGATCTTTCACACAGTTCTGTTTGCTCTCTAATGATCTGTCACATGCTGGAGTGGTCTAATTACTCCAATGAAATAAGCTGTCAGTCCTCACAGATAAACCCACCAACCCTTCCTATCCCTCTTTACTCTC